GAGTAGCTCGTGGAACCTAGGACAGTTTAAAACCACACCCACTCATAAGTCTGAAGCCAGCCCGTTAAGTAGATTAGAAAGTCACACAAAATTAAAACACGGCAAAGTTATAGAGCAATGTAGTCCTACCACCTCCCACGATAATAAACCTAGTCCCGAAACTCACAGTATCAAACAAGATAGCATGAAGAATCCTAGCTGGAATTACGGCAATTATAGTCCTATGCCGCGCCAAGAAAGTCAGTTTTCTTCACAAAGGAGTCCTTATTCAGCTCAACCGAGTCCTGCTCAACCAAGCCCTTATTCGACGCAACCTAGTCCATATTCAACTCAGCCAAGCCCGTATTCTTCACAGCCTAGTCCCTATTCAGCTCAACCAAGTCCAGATACAAGTCAAATTGTAAAACCAGACTTACAAAAATCTAACGCTTGGAATACAGGAAACTATAGTCCCATGCCTAAACACCACCCACCATTTTCACCCCACCCGTCCACACATGCTAGTCCCGACCCGGGAGTCGGCTTGAAAACCGACAGTCTTAGAAACAATCCAAATAAAACTCCGGGACATAGTCCAATGTCAAGACAAGATCGCATCCACCATAGTCCTTATTCACCCAGGCCTAGCGTAGACGTGAATTATAGCAATAAAAAGAGCCCTGGAGTTGGCAACTATAGCCCTATGATGCGTCCAGATTGCCATCTACCTAGTCCAGACAGAGGCTCTACTGCAAGACCCACAATGGCTGGAAGACAGCAAGATATATATGGGAGAACTGTAAATAAAGCACCTGATATACTGCATAACAGTGCACCCCAACCAGAGATACCCAACTCTTGGGGCTTAGACAGATACAATCAGATCACTAACGCTACCACTTCGGCCATCGAGTCCCTGGTATGGGGAGCAACATCGTTCAACACGGAGCCCGCTCCGTTGCCGCCACGAGTTGACAACATTCCCACTATGCTCAACACGCCGTCGCCACAAACGTGGTCCGGTTTGCCTCCGTTCGAAAATAGTGTTCAAAGACCTAACGACGATTTAAATGATCCGTGGACTTTTGGACAATTTCGTGAACAGTCTCACCATGTGCACAATACGTTCGTGGATCAGAACAGTTTCGACCTGAGTGCTCACTTAGGACACCAGGCGCACTCACTACAGAGTTACCTGGAAGACACTTTCCCAGAGACGTCTCGTGTGGAATGACGTTCTCGCCCGCCTTCGTTTTAGTAACTCGAATGAAAATGCATTGTTGTTATGGACAAAATATATTATTGATAAATTCCTTCTTTGGAGGGATATAGGGTGATGTTGTATTTAATAATGATTGAACAATTATATTATAGACATTGTAAATAAGATTTATCTAGTTAGAAATAAGAGTAATGAAGCTAGGAATGCATTAACGTTATTTTGCAGCATAGTTTATGAAATGATATAAGAGATAAGAAAATTATAAATAATAAGAATAGTAAAATTCATCCATCGACTTAGATATTGTTGGATTATACTCATGAGTTAGGTTTTAAAGCGAGTCTTTATTTTATATGCCAAAACCTGTTTTCACTGAGGCCAAAATTTATTTATTTCTATCCATGATTAATGTTTATTTTGTTAAATCACGCTTGGCTTAAGTACCATTTGCTGTGGGAATGTAAAGTCCTTTTTGTCAAGCTTACGACCGTTTAAGTCGTTTGCATTGACTGTCAACTAAATGTGTTGCAATAGCATAAAACATTCCGTTTCAGTTTGTAAAATTATGTAACTGTTTCAGCCTATACAATTCTCGATACCATCAATCTAGAGTATTGACTAGGATCACTTGCACAAATTTGAAAAAAGTGCTAAAAGAATAAAGCGTTTCATTAGTTCAATTTACAAACTACAATATAAGAGAATTTCGTAGACTCGGCCATACAAGTAGGATGTGATGATGTAAACTAAAAAATTGCTAAGAGCCCCATTGTATTAGTCCAAGTGATCGCAGCCAATATTTGGTCTGGCAAAATCTTTACTTATTTATTTGCGTTGTTAGATATTTTAGATATTGTTGTGTTAGCAATGACGGAAGGAGTTTATTGTTGACGTGCTTTAGAGTAGGCCATAAACTTAGGTATAATGTTTACTTCGGTTTATAATTCAAATAAAAAAGATAATAAATCCCGTGATGGGTGTATAATTGCGTTAAGATGTACACGAAAGATTCTGAAATGTAGTTATCAATATATACTATAAATGACATGCAACTCATGTCATTTATAGTATATATTGAATGTTTCCACAGTGTTGTTAATATTTTGCAAACTCTACTCCATCAACTCTTCCAGTTTGTGAAAACCCTTACTAATGAGTAATGAACTTATTTACCAATCATGTGTCATCTTTCAATTGATATTTATTAGATCTTCCAAAGTCAAGGGTTTTGAAACCGGAGCTAGTTTCCAACAAAGATAGATGTATTTCATAGCAATCAGTTTAAGTATAGTCCTGTTATTGAACTCGATGTTTCAATTAGCTTTACAAGGGCAAGCAAGGTGTTCTAATTACCGCACACTGTTTATATGTGTTATAGAATTCGTAAAAGAAGTGTATCTTGTGTTAACTGGTGCAGCTAAGATTGCTAGCTATTGTCAAAGTACTACATTCGACATAATTCATTAATTTGCACTATTTTTGTTGTTTTAATTTCTTTTAAATTTACGCTAAGGCTCTTTCGAGAATCAGATCTTGACTTTTCCATTCACGGGAAATGTATTTTATTTACAACACAATCAAAAAATATTTCCTTGTCGACAAGTTTTTTATACAAATTGGTTATAAAATTAATAAACGATGTTGTATACTTTGAACGTGATAAAGCTATACACAGCAAGTTTCAATGTGTTTACTTTTTGTTGCATTTTAATCATTCAGTGAAATTGTTTTCATTACATATATCAATGTCAGGTGCAGGATATTTGGTTTCAAAAGAAAGTATTATAAATTAAAAAATAATTTGTATTCTATTACCAACCTGTAGTATTGGCGGGTACAGCGTCGTGGATCTGGTTACACCCTTGTTGCAAAGGCGGAAAAGAATCTCAATAAACATCTAGGTACATTTTACGTACAGGTATATCCCATGTTTAATTGAATATTACAATGCACATTTTAGATCTAGATCCACTGAGGTGTATCTGCTCTTGAATGCTTGACTTTCTAATATCATTTTATATTTTTATACTTTTATTAATGATGATAACGAAGTTAAATTTTAATAAGGAGAGAATTCTAAATATCATACCTATTTATTTAAAACTAAAGCCAAGTACAAAGTGCTTTTTTTATAAATTATATGTATAATATTACGTAGACGTACATACTTCGTGTTGTATTTAAAGAGACCGTTAAAACCACCAAATATTGTTTCCATACCTACATTAGCCTTATAAATGCCTAACTTTTAACTGAAGAGATATTTTATAGTTTTATTAACTTATTAAAAATGAAAAATTATTATCTTCTATACATAGAATGTATAAATATAATATTAGGGAAATATTATGTTAAATAATCGTGTACTATAGTATGTATAAAATAAAGTTGACTAATATCTGTAAGTTCTGTTATGTAGAGATTTTTGTTTGTAATATTGTTACACTACTGCGCGGACTTCTTACAGGTGGTCCAATTTTTATAATCTAACCAATAAAATATCGATGTGGTTGTACATTTACATTTTGAATAGAATGTACTCTATTTATTAAATTTCTTTTGTTGAGAAAACATCATCCCATCTGTTTTATCCTCAAATCCCGCCCACAACTTATGGCATTTTAGAAATTTAAAACGAACTGAACAATGACACTAATTCCTTTTACTAATTTTCTATACAAAATGTGTTAAAATATGTGTCAGTTATACCACGATACTAACTGCCTCTTAGCATACTAAACTAGAACTTACCTACAAGGGTTACAGCTGTAATAATGAAACATCAAAGTGTTGTTAAAACATTTTAATAATACAACAAGCATACATATAACGTGATAAAATATTTTATGCTGTAACGAGGTATGTAATCTCAATTTAACTTACGATTAGACTCATTATACAAATTGCATTGCACGTGTCTTTAATAATATTAAATAGGTACTTTTACTTTTAACCTTCAAAGGAAGCAAAATGGACATGAAATGGATATGTTTTTATGAAGGCGAGTTATTTAATTTTTCATTAACTACCTTTACAAAAACAAATTTAATAAGGCGTTTTTTCTTTATTTAAATTCTGATTTCCCACTTTGGCACATTCTTATTGAAGATACGATAAACAAACCAAAAATGCTAGCCTTTCATATGAAAATGAATGCGGAAAATAAAGTGAAGTTTTAATCTTTTATTCTGTGTAGATCTAGCATAAGTAGCAACCATCTAAAAATGCTTTTCCCAGGTGCAGCGGTGGGTAACCATTCGGCAAAAGTATATGGCGTTTTTATTTTACAAACAAACAAATACAAGCAAGTAATTACAACATGTTTAGAAATACACATTTAAACATTGCATTTAAATCTTTTAATGGGCGGAAAAATGCCAATGTCCTATATATAACACCTTTCATTCCATAGATAATTCGAATCGAGATAATTGGGTGAAAGTACCCAGACAACAAGAAGTTATTTCAACATACAAAGCCGTAAAAATACATTAAAATAAGTAATTACACCGAATGTCATAAATACTTGATATCCGTCTTTTTTAGATAATTCAAGATAAATATCTATACTATTAGAAGTAAATTTCAAATAAAATTTTTAGATGTAATTGGAAGCCACTTTTGTTGTTATTTAATGAAAGTAAAAGTCTTCCCCTGTCTTGAGATTCCAAAAATAATACATCAATTAAAAAAATCTTCAGTATATTATTAGTATATTGAAAGAATACATAATAGGTATTATGCAATTATTACACGTGATTGTTTTGTCCAATGATAATTGCTTTGTAATACTTCTAAGTGTATTTAGAAAACAACGAATATAGTTCATGATAAATAGACACAAAGACAGACACATGGAATGTGGAAGTTTTAAAAAAGTAAGTGTATGTTAAATGCTGTCGTACTCATCGTAGTCGCGCCAAGTGGCAGGAGTGGGCGCTAATAAATCTTGTTGGGGATTAGTTAGCTTTTTATCATTTCTACATTTCTTATGTTTATGCTTCTTCTCTTTTTTTTCAGATTTTTCACTATAATCACCTCGATCTTTATCCTTTGATTTCTTCTTTTTGTGTTTTTTCTCCTGATATCAAAGTAATCAATATTAAGCACTAAAATAAAAAATAACAAAACATATTTAATAAAGAAATTAAATAAATTTTACCTTTTCAACTGGCTCTTTAGCAGCATCTGGGTCTTCACCGCCTAAAAATAAAGCATTGGAGATAGTGTTACAAGCACTTAGCATATATATATAATGATCTTATGATGTTGGTTTTATAAAGAATATCTAACCTTCAGGAGATCTTCTTGCGCTAGTATCACCAGCCCAAAGTGGGAAATCATTATCCAATGGTATTTGTACGTTAATGTGGCGGCTACTTTCGAAGGTAGGAACAGCTCCTATATCTACACTATGATCGTCAACCTCTTCCTCCATTGAAATACGACTCATCATAGTGTCAATATTAACGTCATCTTGCTTTGTTCTTGTTAACTCTCTGGATGATTTTACCTCTGAATGGTCATCCACTGGGGAAGCAACCTCGAAGTCCAAATCTTCCTGATCAATTGTCACCTTAGGATTTGTTACATTTTCATCGTCACTGAAATCATATCATTCTTATAAATTATTGATTATCATTTTTGGTTTAAATTTATTTTAACTCTCAATAAATTATACTTTCTACCTTTCGGTGTCATAGATAACATCTTGGTTATGTCCTGATATTGCAGGAAGGTCCTCCAAAAAGCTACTATCCAAAGTACCTGCATAAAACTCGTCTAGACCTCCAGACGATGCTGATATATTTACGCCTGATGGTGTACTTTGTCCACTAAACAAATATAAAGTTGCATAAGTACATACAACATTTCTATACAAAACAATAACATTTCTACTGTAATTATTATATACCTGTCTTGTTTAGGCTGTCGAGGTGGAGTCAGTTCCATGCTAACATGATTTTTAGTTTTAGTTAACTCGGAACTAACGTAATGACTTTGTGTAACCTGACTCGGCGTTTTTATCCCGTTGCCAGCAAGTGACTGCGCCAACTTAAAATATATTCAAAAGCATCAACAATAGGATCAAATAGAAACCGCTTCTAATTAATAAAAGTCCCTGAAAGCTATTTTGCATTTCGCGATGGGTTTTGCTCCCGCCTCGTCGCCCACAGTGCGAGTAGGATTTTTAATCCCAATCAATGTACTATACATCGAGAGTAAAATTCAGTAATATTCGATATACAATCAGGATTTCAGAAATTAATAACGACTTTGTACATGAATTAAAGTCCCATTCTGATTTGAAAAACTTGTCAATTCATAAAGTACTTAAGTAAGTCGTTATTTTCGATCAATTTAGTATGTCTCACGGTAGTAACGATTTATAAAAAGCAAAGGTAGGGACGAATGGTAATAACCCCGCAATATTTCTCAAAATACTTCTAAACTTACAAGTGGGTTAACATTAGGTGGCACAATAGGTTTACCAGCACCAAGTACAATGCTTGGAGAGCGATCAGTAGCAGGACGTGGTTCGGGCTGAGCGGCACTTTGTCGACGTTTGTTTGCCAGACGATCTACAAACAAATTATAGTGGGATTCTTCTGAATTCTGAAAATGATAAGTTACTAGTATAATACAATATCCTTGTTGAAAAAGTACCCACAAACAAGTAGTTTAAACAGGTACTAAAATAAACTCATTAATTGAAATTTATATTACCAAACATGAACAAAATGAACACAGAATTGGTTTATACAGACCTGAAAGTCATCAAGCTCTTTTTCGATCTCTTCTACATCTCTCTGGTTTCTCTGTAGCTGTTCTAATAAACTTGTTTTTTGGAGTCTTAAAAACGGAACACTTAGAAACTTGTGGAGTAATCGAAGTCCAAAACCATTTCTCATAGAAGATTCAGCATAACGTACTGGTGCTGTTCTAAAAATAAAAGTAACATAATTATTAGGAATTTTCGTGCCAAATTGCAAATGAGATTATCATGAAACTTTAGTATAGATGCCATTCTTGTATATATAACCCCATCACAGTTATACAAAAGATTCACCTTCAATGTTTTTCTATTAGCAGTGAAGACTTAATATTGTTACAGTCAGCAGTAATTTTTTCATCAACCTTAAATACCTTTTAAATCAACCTTATACCGACCAATTAGTCTCACACAATTGTTATCGAAATTATGGGAAAAAGTTTTCTTGACAAGGTTAAGACCACATCTCGACGAAAACGATGTCATACCAAACCACCAATTCGGATTTCGTAAAGACCACTCAACTATTGAACAAGTGCATAGCCATACGATTAGACAATACCTTGAGAAGAAGGAGTATTGTTCAGCAGCTTTTATTGACGTCTAACAGGCTTTTGACAGGGTTTGGCATAAATGCCTGTTATATAAAATTTAAAAAAACCCTTCCACAGTCTTTCTATTTCCTGATCAAGTCCTATCTGAATGAAAGATTGTTTCAAGTTGAGCAACGTAGCGCGAGATCTTCTCTGCATACCCGACGCGCGGGGGTGCCGCAGGGTTCGGTCCTTGGCCCAGTGTTGTACAACATCTTCACTTATGACCTGCCTTAAGCTGGCAACGTTACTGTAGCCACCTTCGCGGACGATGCCGCATTTCTAACGTCTAGTAGTGATCCAGATGAGGCCAGTAGGTGTCTACAAATCCAGGTCAATCATACCAACAAGTGGTTGCAAAGATGGCGAGTAAAAGCTAGTGCCCCCAAATCGCACCACATCATCACTTTCACATTGAGTAAGAAAGAAACTGTGCCCAACAGTCAAACTTGGCCAGGATCCTCTACCATCTTGCAAATGTGTAAAATACTTGGGATTTTATTTGGATCAATATATGACATGGAAAGACCACATTAAGCACAAACGAAACTAAGTAAATAATCGACTTAACACATCCAGTGCCCCCGACGCGTATGTGCGTTTCCTTACGCTACTACCCGCGTCGGGGGCACTGAATGTGTTAAAAACCTCTTGTGGATGCTTGGCAGACAATCAACTCTTTCCTTAAGCAACAAACTGAGAGTTTATAGCTCGATAATAAAACCGATTGGGACCTACGGGATTCAACTGTGGTCTTCAGCCAGTAGATCCAACATACTTTGTCTCCAAAGAGAACGAAACAACATCCTAAGGACCATAAGTGTTGCAGCATGGTTTACATGTAGAAATACATGAGTATCTAAATAAGAAGACTGTCCCTGAAGAAGCCAAACAATACACAGGCTGAAAGATTAAAGCACCATCCCAACCCATTGACAAGGTCGCTGTTAATACGAAACCCAATCCATCGGCTAAAAAGAGTGAATGTGCTAAGTAACTAAGGAGAGGGCAGTGGACTTAACTCACCAAAAATTCTTAATACTAGCAAAAATTTGATTATACTCTACTAGACTGATTGCAAATAATAATATTAAAAAAATAAAAATAATCAACCTTATAAGTTTAGCATGATGAAGAGCTTGTTCAATATGATGAGGGTGGACTTGGCGATGATGCTGCATATCACAGTGATTTCCAAGTACCACAACAGGTAAATCCGCAGGGACTTGTGACAATTCCTTTACCACATAGTCAAAAGTCCTGAAATAATATTTTATATTATATAAATTATTAAGATGATGTGGACAAAATATACACATAAAGATCAGATTATAGAGGTCAGATTATTAGTGTATTGTTGTTTTATTTTATTATTATTTATTTATGTATTATTTATATGGTATATATGTATTCGTAGGTTATATTTATTGTATTGATATATTTTTTGTATTGTATGTATGCATATGTTGTATATATACTACTTATTTAGTACCTATCATTAACACTTCTCTGCATCACCCCTGAGGTTGACTGGTAGAGAATGCCTTTGGGCATTAACTCCACCTTTGTATTTCTTTACATAAAGTGTTAAAATAAAAAAGTAAATAAATAAATAGTTCATTATAATTAAGTGCCTAGGAAGAATCAACATCCTATGTTAAATTTAGATAATTACCTAAATGTAAATGTAAACAATCTTGGCATAATTATTATAAAATTTGTTTACAAATTGTATACAATCAGGTATTGACCTAAATCAATGTTAGCTAATAAACTAACTTTAGATACTCTTTTTATATATTTTATACAACCTCTTTAATTCATCAAACCTCAAGCAAAGGCCAGTGTTTCCGCACCTTTTTAGAATCACTATGATTCAAAGGCACAATTATAAAAAGACATACCAAGATTGTTTACTTTCAGTTAACCACTTCCACCAATAGACTAGTGTGTATAAGTCAACATATACTATGTTAAAAATTACATTTAAAAAACTTCTATTAAGCCCAATTGATACACAATTAAATGTTAATTAATTAAAATTTTATACATGTCTATATTGATACATAAAGAAACTCAAGACTTGTTTTTGGGCAGGAATTTCATGTCACAGAAACTGGTTTGTAATAGATTGGTATTGCCCAATTAGCAGTACATACCATGGTTTAGTAATATCAAGCATCAATATCACACCATTAGCATTTTTGTAAACATCTAAGAATGTGGCATCAAGAACTGGAGTTTCATAACCATCTTCAGATGCTGCAGCAGCTGACTGGTTTTCAAGCTTAAGACCTAGAGGTGGTTTCTTTTTCGTTCGACCTTTATCCACTACTTCCCAAACTTCTACCTAGAATTAAAAATATGTTATTTTATTTTACCTATGCAATACTTGTATACTTATTGTTTATTTAAATTTTATTTATTTAATAAACTGTTATTACTGAATATAGGCAAAGGTACTGTCACAGAATAAAAAAACATTAGATCTGATTTACTTTTACTTACATAATTTTTGTATACCAATCATTATTAGTAAATATATTAAATTAATGGTAAAAACAAAATTGAAAATTATAGGTAGAGAAGATACTTTCACTCACTTTAACAATGTAATCAGAGTTTTTATAAGTCCAATGAATTGGAGCAACTTGAATTTGATCGGTTGGGACGTAGTCTTCAATGAATGGTCCACCTTGTAGGCGCTGCAATAAGCACGACTTACCAACGTTTCGATCACCTTTTATCAGTATTTTCACTGAAATCAATAAAAGACACGTAATCATTTTCGCGCTGATATCCTAATTATTTAAAATTCAGAGCTACAACAGGTCACTTACTGTTAAAATGAACTCCTTTTGAAAATTTCTTCTGCAGAGAAGAAGACATTGGTAAAGGAGCTGGACAGCGATCATCGCCACTTTTCGTTAGTTTTTTGAGAGCAGAAAACATTGTAAATTCTTTCTAACGCAGTTGAATTAACACATAACGTATAAATATACCACAAAAAATTGTAAGGAGCTACAACAGCTGATGTTTAATAATAAAATAAAATTATACCGAAAAAACTACATACAAAACACTTTCATCGCGATATCAACATCGTCAACAACCATTGACAACAAACCTTATCCACAGATTACAACATTGCCTTTGACAACGAGGAAGATTGTAGATTACTACCACAGATCTAATAAAGTAATTCTTAATCAATTTTTAAAGACATTAATTTACTGAAAATCTATTTCCGGTACGATTTTTAATATTTATATAAAAAAGAAACATAAGGTTCCACAAACGTATTAATATACTGATGATACCTACTATAAAGCAATCCTGATGCGGCTGTGGGGTTGCTCCAAAATTTCTAACAACTCGTCTTTTATACCATTTACAGAAAAAAAATAGTATAATATATCTAGTATTTGAATAAAAAACACCAGATTATTTTGCTTAACCCGAGATACCTATTTAATTTGGCAGTTGTACCTTTTTTATATAAATACCAGAGCATACCAATAGAGTTTTGACTTCAGGGCATCTGGATGGTAAGCGGCGGAGTACCAGTTTGCTAAAGTGCGTAGCCGAATTGAATTCAATATTCTTTTTGACTTTGACATCATTATGGTGACCTTTTGAATAATAAGACAGCATTAAAACTTCTTTTCTTTAAACTTACCATTAATCATAGTTTAGCACAAAAATATAATGAAGCTGAAATGATATGATATACACATCTTTTTCAATGTAATTGAAAACAATAATATCTATTTATTTATTTCACTAGAAAGGATTCAAGAAGTAAAAAAAACAAACCATATAACTATTTCAGTTTCAGGAATTTATTTTTGTACATGTGATAAATTATATTTACTATTTTAATATTTTTCCTATAATAATGTGCAAATGCTCTATACAAGGGATCAACACACAAAAATATTTTTTTTTTATTTTTTCACTTGATAATGAAATAACTTTCTACAATAGGTACATTTTGCTTCACCATGATAGACAGTTTTGTAAAGTTTGTTGGATTCAGGAGGGGCTATGGTGTTTTTTGGCCCTCATCAGTCAGGCTTATATTGCAGACATCAATTTAAACATTAAAATATCTTCTTTATCTAGACAAATGAAGATAAAATGGACTTAAATTATTAAATATATGACAACATAACTATTGTTACTTTCTACTTGAAAACTTTATATAATTATTTTTTTTCAACTTGATTAGCCTATAAAGATAGCCAGAGTTGAGGGCCAAGAGCAATACCACTGGCTCTATTTGGAGCAGGGGAAAGAATGGGGTGGTTTTTGGCCATTAATAGTCTGGCACTCCCTCTCCACCCATCCAGCATGAGAGGGAGTGAGAAGTCTTTCGGTGATTTACCCCCTAAGAAATGTATAATTTAATCCCATTTAGATTTTTTCTTTTCAAAAACTTCTTTACCATCTTTGTCTACAGCAGCATAATAACCCATTGATTCATACTTTGTTCTCATGTACGCTATATATCCAAGAGCCAGACCAAAACATGTTGCACCTACAGCCATGATAACCATATTCTGAAACAAATTAAAAATTTTAATTATTTGTTTCAGGTATTACATAAATGTTTCTGTGGGGGTTATAATTATATAGTTAAACAATATTATCTTACAGGTTTTGCATAAAGTTCAAAATTTATAACTCGAAATGCTGTAGTTGATTGCATTGAACGAATTCCCTCGCCGGGTTTTACTTCTTTATTTTCGGGCTTCATGTTTAAGGCTTCTTTAAAAATTGGTTTCAGCTTATTGAAAAATCGTATATCCACACAAATTATGTAATTTTAATCCGTAACCCAGTAGTACTAGCCACCGTTGCGATTGCATTCGATCTATTTCAGTGCTATAAAACAAACAATGGCTATTTTATTTGTTTAATTATCGTTTCTAATAGTTCTAATGTACAACAAAATCCAGCTATCCCATTTTGACAGTCTTTCTCAATGTCATTAAGATGTGAAATGTCATGTCACATTTTTTTTTTTTTTTTGGAGTTTATGGCCTGGATACGAGTCCTTTAAGCCAAGTCTTTTAATTTACTCGGTTTTATGTTATTATATACTTTCCAGAGTATTTTTAATGAAATTGTATAACGGCACTAAACACTTTGGATCACGTAGTAGATCTTCTAGGCGGCGGGAGGAAACATTATTTACAATTTCACTTATTTCACTGGCTAAAATCAACCTTTGCATGTTGTAGTCACTGCATACCAACACTATGTGACTAATGTCACATAAGACGTTACAATTCAAGCACTTGTCATTTGCATCGAGTTTGAGTCTTGCAAGGTGTGCGGGTGTTCTATGATGTCCGAATCGAAGCCTGCATATAGTAGATATAAAATCTCGACTGGCGTACTTGTATTGCTTTTGGTCATACCACGGTCTCACAGGTAAGTCCGATTGAATAGTACCATACCACTTTCCTTTTTCTTCTTGGTCTTTCTTCCAGAAGTCTTTCCATACATGTTTTATGTTTTCTGTAATCAGTGCATAGCAGTCCGTAAAAGGTACCTTTACAATATTAGATACATTTATACAATTTATCCCATCAAATGCAGCTCTATCAGCGATTTCATTGCCAGTAATACCTTTATGTGAAGGGATCCACATAAAAGAAACTGAAATGCCTTTATTTTTTAAATCAAATAAAACTTCTCGAATCTTAATTAAAAGATAATTAGTTTTGAAATGAAAATTAATATTCTCTAATGCTTTAATCACACTTAAAGAGTCAGTCAAAATTAAATAGGTTGTGTAATGCATTGATGAAATTTTTTTCAGGGCCTCAAGAACTGCATAAGCCTCTGCAGTGAATATGCTACATAAAAGACTAAGCTCAAAGCTTTGACAAAACTGAATTTGAGGATCATAAACAGCACTGCGAACATGAGACAAACCCTTACTGCCATCGGTATAAAGTCTATAATAGTGACTGTTAAGGTGAATAAAGTTTAGTAACTCCTCATTATTACTAACTACTGTATTAATAATTGAGACTTCAAATAACAATATCTTGTACTTTGTGGAGTAACATGCCCAATGAGAACTTTTAATTATATTTGAAAATTTAAAATGTGCTTCCAGGATAACCTGAGATAAATCTGGGATAATATGACAGTGAAGGCCAGCCCCAGTCACACCAGACACATTGTGAACTACTGGATACTGAGGTAAAATTCTTCTTAAAACTTCATTATTATTAGCTGCAAATAGCTTTACAGAAAATCTTTGAGCAAGTAGATATCTTCTAATACTAAGGGGCATCACCCCTGTCTCAACTTCCATGGCACGGATGGGAGTTGAGCACATGGCACCAGATATTATCCTCAGACCTTTGTTTTGTGCTATATCTAATCTATGTACATAATTACAATCAATATAAGCTAGACAACTGTAATCAAAATGGCTTCTTACAATGGCTTTGTACAAAATAGCAAGAGTAACCGGGTCAGCTCCCCAGGAGACTCCTGCCAAACACCTCATGATATTTAAGCCTTTCAAAGAATTTTGTAAAATGTACTTGATATGACCTTGGAATGTCAGTTTATTATCAATTTGCACACCTAAAAATGTATGACTGCTTACTATGGGAATTGCTTTATCATTGTATAACACAGACAAGCTAGGTAAATCTTTTGTTATAAACATTACATTACTTTTGTTGGGATTGATATTTAATCGAAGTTTATTGTTGTAGTAGTGATATAATTGACTAAGAGTGTTATTAATATTAGCAATTGCCAAATCAATATCATTATGTACACTATATACAACAAGGTCATCAGCAAACTGCAAAATATTTACATTATCCATATTTACATATTTACAAATTTGAGATGTATATATATTATATAACAATGGGGACAAAGTTGCCCCTTGCATTGTTCCTTTTGATACTTGCCTAGGACCATGTAAAATATTATTGTGTTTTACATATAGTATTCTTTCATTTAAGAAAGAGTATATCCATTTACAAAATTTTCCTGGAATACCTAAATCAGACAGTATTTTAATCAAAATACCAGGTTGCACATTATCAAATGCCCCCTGTACATCTAAAAAGGTACATACTGCACTAGCATTATTATTTCTTGCTCTTTTCAGATCTGAGATAAGAGAAACAAAGCTGTCTGCACAACTTCTGCCTCTTCTGAAGCCAAATTGAATAGTTGGGATAATGCACTTCGATTCCACATACCAATCAAGACGAATCTTAACCATGTTCTCAAAAATTTTTCCAAGACAGGATGATAATGAAATAGGTCGATATGAGTTAGCATCATTGACTGGTTTATCTGGTTTAAGCACTGGTATCACACATTGTGTTTTCCAAGACAGTGGAATTACTTGATGGAGCCAAAGTGCATTAAGAATATTCAGAAACAATTTTTGCACCAATATATGTAAATGTTTTATCAAAATATAAGGAAAGATGTCCAATCCAGGCGCAGAATTTTTTCGGGAATGAAGACTCATATTAAACTCATGCCATGTAAAAGGTTCAATTAAAAACTGTGTCTCATTATTATCATTATTAATATTAAAATACATATCAACATCAACTATACCATCAGATCCATTATCTGATAGTTTATCTAAGAATGGCAAAACAAATTCATCAGAAAGTGATTTATTATGAGTTTTCCTACCCTTAAACATTTTAATATAGTTCCAAATCTTACTGATAGGAGTATTTCTATTAAAAGACTCACAGAGATTGCGCCAACCATTTTTCTTTTCTTCAGATATGGTTCTCTTTTTCAAGGCGTCTAACTTCTTATATATAATGTAGTTATCCATTGTAGGATTACTTCTATAGTATTTTAAAGCTTGATAAGACTTAATGACGCTTTGTTCACACTTCTCATTCCACCATGGCGCTGGTGGCCTACTTCTATATGAACTAGTCTTGGTATACTTTGGGATGCAAAGTAACTTCAAAGAGCTAAGTCTATTACAGAAGGTATTATATGACTTCAAAGGGTTCTCAGTATCCACATTGATATCATTAAATAAAGTTTCAGATATTTCACAGTACTTCACCCAATCTGCTTTTTTGTATAAAAATTTCTCTATTGGAGGATTTGTTTGATATTTATTAACAGCTAAAGTAAGATTTGTAATTGTAGGGAAATGATAACTACCCATACTGTCATCATGTACAGTCCAATCACACAGTGGTGCTAAAACTGCACTTGTAAAAGTGATATCAATAGCTAATGGGTTACAATTAGGCCGATTATTTGTTGTGAAACTGCCATCATTCAACAAGCATAGATCCAACTCATCAATTATATCATATAGTTGCTGCCCTCTGCCCTTGGTGCTTACACAGCCAAAAGCAATATGATGAGCATTAAAGTCTCCTGAAATGAACACTGGCTTGGGCAGATCTTTTATGATTTTTCTCAATTTGTTTATTCTAATATGGTGTCCGTTACCCAGGCCAGATGTTGTCGACAATGGTCATTTGAATCTTATAGATAATTAGTTGTGCGGCTTCTGTAATTGTTGCGCACATTTTTAAATTTGTTGCGCTTATAGTTTTTTAATTATTTCACAAAAACATTTCCTGCTGGCGTAACGTTACCACAGCCAGACCTTTTTCTTTCTAATGGGAATATTAAAATAAATATTAGCTATAAAATTAGTTGTCTAGATAAAGTAAATGTTGTGCGTTATTTTGTATTTGTTCTTTCTTCGGTTGCGAAGTTATTCGAGATTTTGCTGCGGTAACGTTTTTGGTTTTGCTAGATCTTTGAAATGGTTAAGCGGATTCTTATCATATTTTGTACACGACTTCCGAGGACTTAGTTTATATTTGTTGTGCAATAACAAAACCAAAATAATGCATATTTTAAAGGTATTTTCATTAAATAGAAAAACACTTCAATTGGCCCCAGCACTCTCAATAAGAAGTCTAAAGACTTACTTTAAACGTAATTTTAAAGCTTGTAACTGCCTTCAAATGTATGTGAAGTTTCATTAGTATCCCGTAAGTATTTAACAAGTTATGATGATATTCAGTTCTTCACGCCGTGGTCGTGTTTTCGCTTTTTCGTAACCACCTAAACTTGGTCGGCTTACCACGGCCATTCACTTCCTAATGACTTTAATAGTATTATCTCATTAATTATCCAATGTATTGAGCTGAAATTTTACTGATATACAACTGATCTAAACAACTAATTATTGACATAACATTCAGTTCATATATCCCATCCAGTGGCCAAATAACACCGCGTGCATTAAGACCGTGCTCGTGAAGAACTGAATATCATCATAACTTGTTAAATACTTAAGGGATACTAATGAAACTTCACATACATTTGAAGGCAGTTACAAGCTTTAAAATTACGTTTAAAGTAAGTCTTTAGACTTCTTATTGAGAGTGCTGGGGCCAATTGAAGTGTTTTTCTATTTAATGAAAATACCTTTAAAATATGCATTATTTTGGTTTTGTTATTGCACAACAAATATAAACTAAGTCCTCGGAAGTCGTGTACAAAATATGATAAGAATCCGCTTAACCATTTCAAAGATCTAGCAAAACCAAAAACGTTACCGCAGCAAAATCTCGAATAACTTCGCAACCGAAGAAAGAACAAATACAAAATAACGCACAACATTTACTTTATCTAGACAACTAATTTTATAGCTAATATTTATTTTAATATTCCCATTAGAAAGAAAAAGGTCTGGCTGTGGTAACGTTACGCCAGCAGGAAATGTTTTTGTGAAATAATTAAAAAACTATAAGCGCAACAAATTTAAAAATGTGCGCAACAATTACAGAAGCCGCACAACTAATTATCTATAAGATTCAAATGACCATTGTCGACAACATCTGGCCTGGGTAACAGACACTCTAATATGGCCACTGTGTGGTGGACAATACACAGTCAAAATAGATAAGTCACCTAACTCTGTAGAAAGAGAAATTGCAACAGTTTGTACATCTTCATAAAATGTGGTTTGTAAAGTTGTATACTTTAAATTA